AAAAAGTTCAAGAAGAACTTTCCCAAAACAACCTTTCCCCTGCAGCATGCAAGTAATTTTCACTTGGGTGAAAAAAATACGAAAAAATAGCCAAAGTTTAGCAAAATTTTCTGCGAACAAGATTGAAAATACATAGCATCAGCAAAACTGCTTGTAATAGAAGGTAAAAACAACACTGCATAAAAATTTAATCATAAACTATTTCTTCAAAAGTATCCTGTGCAAAATATAATTTTGCACACTGCATTTCAGCTGAACTATAGAGGAAGTGCCTTTTTTAAGCAAGAGCATTTAACAGACATAAATGTTAAACTTGTCCAAGGATCACATCTTTAACTACAGATCCAATTTACATCTAATTTTAGCTTAGAAACTGGTTGGAAGATTTACTTGGGAAATGCCAGAAAACTTATCCAATGTGAAGTGTGGTAAATTGCTAAGGACTGGCTGCACTTTTCATAAAACCCCAGAAATTTAATCCCTTTAGAGCAAATCTTAGTCTTAAAGCTGTCATCATGCTTGGGTCATCCAGCATGCTTTATAATTTACTGTTATTTATTGATTCTTACATATACAAAATCAGCTAGCAGAAGAGCATCCTCAATGCCATAAACGAGATGAGTATAGAAAAAGGAAGAATGACTAATTCCCAGCTTTACCAGCTATTGTTAATTAGTGCTTCCCTGGTCAATTTCACTTGCTTTAAAGTCTCTTATTTATTAAATGGTTCTTGCTAGTTCAAACTAATCCCAAATAAGAAAAAAAATGTTTAGTTGTGCAGCAGAGATTAAAGGGCTTCAACATGCTCACTGTTAACAGGAAGTAAAGAAAATACATTTCTTCATCAAATCATTTTCACAAAGCCTCATATATTTCATCAAAAATGGCCATTAGTGTTATTTCAAAGACGTGCTTGTGGTTTTTGCTAACTACTTATTACACAGCCATCATTTTGTAATATAAACCAATGACTTAGTGATAAAGTGCACCAGTTGGAAACATAAACAGATGCATTATGGATAACTGAAGTACTGATTTCTCTTCTACAAATTCATTCTATGTCACTTAAAAGAAAAAATCAAAGGAACCTTATGTTTAATAATATTTAGATATTCAGGATATGCCTAAACTTAGCAAATTAGAACAGTTCCAATATTCTGTGTAGCAGAATACTGAATTCCAGGTTCAAAAATCAAATGAGATGGAAAATGCTTATGATCCCTTGATAAGCATAGCTAGGAATGAATTGGCATATGGAGGAGATGGAAAAGCCAAAAACAGCAGGAGTTGTGCTGTGCAAGGCTTTTGTAATGACTTTGTGGCCCTATTTCCCAGATTATGTTTCCAGTTTTTGAAAATCAGACAGGCAAAGAAGAACATTTTGAAAAATCGCATTCTTCTGCAGACCTATCTGTGTGGTTTTTTAACTATCCCATGGTAATGCAGACCCAATCCTAAAATGCATACACACCTCACCTGCAAGATAATTTCCTTGTCTTCAAAGAAAATAACGCTCCAGCTGTGCAGCACAGTTTGCCTGTTTGATGGTATAAACAATCTCCTATTCAGGTTTAAAAAGACTGGACCTTTACTACTGCATGCTTTAGAAGAAACCTCCAAAAATTTATCATGCTTCACCTTGTATCAAGGGATGAGTTGATTGAACTACTCTCAGAGGGTAAATTCAATGTACTATCTCATATTTTAAAAGGAAAAAAAAAACCTAGAAATCAGCAGAGAAATTTCCATTTCTCTGGACACTCTCAATTATCTCTTTTAAAAGTTGTCCCTTTAAATAAAGCCCCGAGAACAGCACCCTTTTCATGTGTCATTTCCCAGTGGAGGAAAGGCTTCCTTTAACAACACTTTCCACATGGCTTCCTGCAGCATTCTTATATCCAAGGTAAGTCTTTACAGTCCTGATGACTGGACTGCAAGATGGAGGAAAAACTGTTCAGATTGTCCATTTCAAAGGGTAATTGTTATTGGGTAGTACCCTACGCAGTGCCTGGTGAGGAGTTCCTCAAGGGTCTCTCTCAGGACATGTCAGGAAGATTAGAGACATCAGCTATAAATTGGAACGAGAGGGATTCAACCTGAATATAAAGAAAAAATCCACCATCAGATAATTTAGCATTGTAGTAGGTTGCCCAGTGATGAAATCACAAGTTGCCCATCAGGGGATCCTGGGCAACTCTGTTTTCCAGAAGCATATTCAACTTTGGCAATCTTTTTCAAGTGCTCGCAACATGAACAATCATATGTGTCCTAACTGTGTCTTTGGCCAGGCACAGAGAAAGCAAACCCTGCCATGTCTGGCTAAGACCATGCAGTGTGTCATCAAGAGCTGCAAAGCATCTCACAAATGTTGGCATCAGCTTTATATACACATTGGGGAAGTGAAATGGAAAAAAATTATCCCAGAAATTATCCAGGCCTCAAACAAACAAGAAATTAAATTAACCAGCAAAGTTCATAAGGCTCGCTGTTAGAGGGAGAGAGAAACTACTAAAATACACCTTTAATTGAACAAATAGCAAATTAAGTAATACTTCATAGACTTCTGAGATGTCCCAAACTTGCACAACAGTTAACATGAGCACAAGTGAACAAGAATCTTTCCACTAATTTGAGGTTGACAATTTTCTCAATTTCTACTTTTTATTTCTTTCCCTGAGTCTACGAGGATTTTTATATTATAAACAGTTTATATTGTCTCTGTGTGAGATTCTGCACAATGATCTAAGGTCACTTTGTATCAACAATACTCTAAGACAAAACAAGTCCCAGATTTGTTTTGCATGGAGTTCTGATATTTTTTCGGCATTTTTTACAGAAACAAACAAACAAAAACATGGAATTGAAAAAAAAAATCTTTATTTTTATAAAAACATGTAAATTTTGCTATTGCTTTTTCTGTGCCAGGTATTTTGGAAGATTTTTTTTCTTTTGAGAAAACTGAAAATATCATCATGTTTTGCTCAGAATATTTCAAGTAATATATAAATAAACATTTGCAAAACTGTCATAGCCAATTGACTTTCAACCTCACTGTTGCTTTGTTTATTCTACTGCATCCTGGTCAAAAGCAGAAGAAGAAAAACATTAGGAGTTAGCACTTCAGTTGTTGCCAGTGCTGCTTTGTCTCCTTTTCTTCAACACTTTAAGCCAAAAGAGCAAGTTAAAATGCTGAGTGCTAATTAACCATCAAACAATCACGGTGCAGTTTCTTGCACTGAGTCTCCAGACCCATTGCTGGAAAGAAAACTTCCTGCCTCCAGTAGTGTGGTGAAGCAGTAAGGAAAGCAGGGATGCTCCAAGTTAATATTTGGTGCCAAACATTGAAAAAACATGAGAGTGTGCATCAGTATGATACATCTGGTCAATTTTTAAATCAAAGAAGGAAAAAAAGGAGAAAAAAGGCTAAATTTAAGCCCTTAACATTAATTGCTTAATGAAGACTGACAAGAGTCGATGTAACAGGGCCATTTTATATTTAGAACAAACAGTGCCCTCTGTGGTTTAACAGAAAATGTGGTGTTGATTTCTTCTGTATTGTATTTTTAAACACAGAAGCTAAGAGCACCCAAAATTGCCCTATTTAGTATAATCACTTAGCTCGATGAAAATCCTCAGTCATTTTAGCATGCTTGCTTCAGGAATGCAGATTACAAGTAGCAAACAGAAAGTAATCCACAAATAGCTTTAGAATCCTGTTTGAAAAATTGGCCTGTGAGCGATGTAGGTCTAAAAGCCAAGTGAGTACATTATGATCCAAAAAAGTGAACGATTTTTTTAAATGATTTATGTAAACTAGGAAAGAAAAACTCACTTTAAAACAAACTTGAGTGTGTATTGTTGATATGATCACATTTTAGAATACACTAAGTGTTCCAAATGGCCCTTAGATCAATTTTGGGAAGTAAACAAAGCTCAGCTTTCAATGAGATTTAGGTTTTAAAACACAAGAAATTAGGTATAGGTTAATTCAAACATTCATTAAATCCAGACTGCATGAGTTATATTCCATGGTCTGAAGTGATGACTAACGCAGATAACAGTCATGCTTATGCAATTTGTTACAGATAATATGTTAAGTAAAATAGTTTGCACAAACTCTGAAATAAAGGATCTTTCCAGTTAACAGAAAACCCAAAATCAAAACATAATTTGAAACATGTATTTTGTTCTATATTTGAAATCAGAGAGTGTGTCCACATTTTTTACACACACATACACACTCGCAAACACACACACACACACATATGCTCACATACACATTATTTTAACAGATGCCAGATGGAAAAGTATTTGACATGCAGTTTACTTTCAGCATAGTGAATGTGGCAGCCTCACCATCGTCCTCCTGTGGTGCAGAGCAGCCCCCAGCGATGTAGCACAGCCCTTGCCAGGCCAGTGGCACACTTGGCCATGAAGGAGTAATGCCAGCTAGGAGACATCCTGGGGGCACCTCTGGAGGAGGTGGGGGCACCTTGGGAAGATGAAGCAGCCAAAATCAGTTCCCATCCGTTGCAGGCAGACAAGTCTGCAGATGGAAGGAGGACACAGCCCAGGGACCTCAGTAACCTCAGCCTCTCCTTTTGCAAGGAACCCTTTGGAGCATTGAAAGGTTGCTGGGTATTTCCCATACCATCTGCTTCTCTTCTGCTCTAGCTGACCTTTTCCTCCCCTCCATGGTTTGGACAATGGGAATGTGGGACACCTCTGTAGACCAAGAGTAGGGGCACCATCATGAACTGCTGAGCCCCAAAGCGGGGTACAAACCATGTGGGTGTTCCCCTCTGTGTAAGGCACTATGATTTTTCCCACTATTAGCTTCTGGAAAAGTCTTCCTTTATGACAATTTATAGTAACTTGTATTCACACTCCTACAAGCTCCAAGCCATGCACCAAGACTGCTCTGGACACTGCCAAGCTAAAAGATGCTGGCTGGCACCCAAAGACAGTCCAAGAACAGGTGACAGTGGAGGGAGGAGGACTCTCTTGAGTACATGGCACCTGACCATGTTGAGTACACGGCACCTGACCATGTTGAGTACACATTTGCTGGCAGAGTCTTTCCAAAATTTTTATGTGTAATGTCTAACCTGCCTTTGAGGGAGATACAGGGGAAATCATAACTCTCCTCAGCCCAGTTTCAGTGGTTAGTCATCTGAAGCATCAATGTGTTGTTCTCACAGGCATCAGCACGAGACCTGCTGAAGCAGCTGGAGGAATAGCAAAGCAGGTTTGCAATACAATAAATCTATTACCATATTTCATTCATGTCTGTTCATGCAAGGCTCTGAAGATGTAAAGGGTAATATAAGCACTGAGTGATATTGTTAGTGTTTCAAAAGCTACTATGGCTTTTAGGTTTGATACATTTACAGCATGCAAAAAAAAGCCTAACACTGTCCCATAGCTGGAAAGCCATCAGTGGGCAAAGAGTGTAAAATGAACTCACAAGTATTTATCAAAACAATTCTATTAATTTGGAATAGTTGTATTTACATTATAGTGTAAAGTATTATTAGAGTTAGCTGGATGTCTGAGATGAATATGGGAAGATGAAGAAATTAAATATTTATTTTACTATCCTGAATGTCACTTTTGTTATGATATCTGGGTGTAGAGTGCTTTTCTGGCTGGGCCTTTCTATAAATTCAGCATTGTAAGGCACAGTACAGACCTGTCTAAATACAAAGGCACCTTCACTTTGCTGATTGATGTTGATATAGGTGCATGTATATGGAACCTCTTGCTGTATTGTCCCAGCACCTCTTTATCCCCAGCATCAGACTTCAGCACCTTGGTCCTGTGGCACTTTGGGAGCGTTTCCCTGTTCCTAAGAAGTGTTGGTTTGCCTGAAAATTCCAGGGAAAACATTTTGAAGTTAATATATTGGGCTTGTAGCTTTGTAACACAGAGCTTGTTTTGCAGAGAAGTGTTTTCAGTGTTACCTTTCCTTTTGCCAACAGGAAAATAATTTCAATGGAAAGTCCAGGAGTTGTGACTAAATCAACCATTGCAGAAAAGGGGCACTTTAATCATAAAAGAAAGCATTAGAAAAAGAGGTTAGGCAAGTGGACACTCCATCAAAACAAACAAAAAAATTAAGCATATAAAATAAAAAATATGTATTAAAAAAAAAACCACTTTGAGCTGTTGATTCTCATGGGAGCTGTGAGCAAATAATTTCCTGTATCCACTTTCATCTGTGGCTGCATTTCTTGGTAACATCTCATCTCCTGGGATTCCAGAAAGACTCCTAGGATCCACTGTCATATCCTTAGTGGGAATAGGATCCACTGATAATATCTGTCAAAGATATAGGGAAGGAAAACCCAACTCTTAATAGGAGAAAAACAAAAGATTCTAAAATTATTGTTCACAAAACAGCTAAGGCATAGAAATATTTAATCAATCTATTTAGAATAGTTTGATTAATAATTTTGATACTATATCACAGAAGAAGAAAATAGACATAATTAACAAATCTTTGATTCTTAAAGAGAGCTTGATGCTTCCATTTTTCTCATTAATATCTAAATATATATCCCTAGCAGTATATTTACAATTTTCTTATGAGCTGTTGTCATGGTTTAATCCCAGCCAGCAGCTCAACCCCACGCAGCCACTCGCTCACTCTCCCACAGAGGGATAGGGGAGAGAACTGGAAGAGTAAAAGTGAGAAAACTCATGGGCAGGAATAAAGACAATTTAATGGGTAAAGCAAAAGCTGTGCAGGCAAGCAAAACAAAGCAAGGAATTAATTCATTTTTTCCCATGGGCAGCCAGGTGTTCAGCCATCTCCAGGAGGGCAGGGTCCCATCACGTGTAACAGCAACTTAGGAAGACAAATGCCATCACTCTGAACATCCTCCCTTTCCTTCTTCTTCTCCCAGCTTTATACACTGAACATGACACCATATGATCTGGGATATCCCTTTAGTCAGTTGGAATAAGCTGTCCCAGCTGTGTCCCCTCCCAATGACTTGTGCACCCCCAGCCTACTCATTTGGGGGTGACATGAGAAGCAGAAAAGGCCTTGGTGCTGTGTAAGCACTGGTCAGCAATAACGAAAACATCCCAGAGTTATCAACACTGCTTTCAGCACAAGTCCAAAACCCATACCAGCTCCTATGAAGGAAATTAACTCTATCCCAGCCAAGACCAGCACAACCGCATATTCAAAGTGTTGTAGGTAGCACAGATGGTTTCCCATGGACAGCAAGAGTTGCATAAGGGTAAACTGAAGTGCTCTTTGAAAGGTATTTAAAGAATAACTCAATCATCAGGCACAGTCAACATGGGCTCACAAAAGGAAAGACTCTTTTAACTAATTTGATTATCCTTCTATGATAAGGTCACCCACCCAGTGGATGAGGGGAAGGCTATGGATACATTTTTTCTGAATTATAGCAAGGCTTTTGATAGTCACAGAATCACAGAATATTCTGAATTGGAAGGGACCCATAAGGAGCATCGAGTCCACCTCTCAAATGAAAGGCCCATACAGGGATTGAACCCACAACTTTGGTGTTATTAGCACCATGCTCTGAGCTAATCTCAGGATCAGATAACTCACAGCATCCTTCAGGACAAATTGTCCACCTGTGGGATGAGTGGGTAGAGCTGGGGTAAGCTGGGCAGAAGGGCAGAGCTTAAAGGGTTGTAGTGAATGGGGCTACATCTGCCTGGTGAACTGCCCCAGCAGTGTTCCTCAGAGATCAATCCCAGAGCCAGTTCTGTTCAATATATTTATTAAGAATGTGGATGTAGGAGTTGAATGCGCCATTAGCAAGTTTGCTGGTGATACCAAACTAGGAGGTGTCATTGACTCTCTTGAAGGACAAGATGCCTTGTGGAGGGATCTAGATAGCTTGCAGCATTGGGCAATGATTAATGGCATGAAATTTAACAAGTCTGAATGCCAGATTCTGCACCTGGGATGGGGCGGCTGGAGAGCAGCCCTGCAGGAAGGGATCTGGAGGTGCTGGTTGGCAGCAGACTCAGTAGGAGTCAGCAGCATGCCCAGGCATCCCAGAGGACAAACACGTCCTGGAGTGCATCAAACTCAGCATCACCAGCTGGTCAACAGAGCTGACTGTCTTGCTGTAACAGCATTCGTGTAGCCTCACCTTGAGCACTGTGTGGTGTTCTTGGCCTCTCAATTGGAGAAGAATGTGAAGATCCATGGGAAAGGATGACTATAGATTGCCTCATTTCACACATATTCAAGGGAGACAAATTATTCTCTGTACTTCCAAGTTTTTGAGGAACTCTTTTTCAGCTTTAAGTGCAGTTCTTTCAAGAAAATTTATGTGGGTGATTAAGGTTGGGGAAAGGTTGATTGACTGTTTGCTAGCTTGGGCTTTTAACAGAGAGAGAAAAAGGTAAGTAACTTGGTATTAGTAGCCCCATTAGCTAGTGTTTGTAGAAATGAAGGCTTCAAAATCAATGCTCTGCCTTGTGACATGAGGGACATGAGGGAAGAAGGCCCCAGTGCAAGAACGATATGTACCCATTCCAACAGAACTGGACCAAGACGGGATTAGACATGCAAAGGTCTAGAACAATTTGCAGATTTTCTCTAGACAAGGAAGACCAGCAACATGTGGGAAGCACATGTCCATTCAAAGCTTCACAGCATACTCTGGTGGTCACTGGCATGCAGCATAACCTCAGTTGATCCAAAACCTTTCATCCAGTGTCCTACTCAGAACAGATATATTCTCTTTGCCTCTCCAGATTCCTTAGCTTTTCTTTCCTTTCTCCACATTCTTCCATACCAGTTTCAGCCTTCCAGACAGCATTACAAACGCAGCTATTCATCCAGTAGATTAATATATTTGTTACACCAGTGCAGTTTGATATGTTCTTCTGCTTTGATCTTCTCTATAAAGATAACACATAAAATTTCCCTAAAATAATTGTTTGAATGACACCGTATCTTCTTTTAAAAATTCTGATTTTAATGTGTCCACCGAAGAAAATGTGCCATATTAATTTAATATAGCTCAAACAGTTACAACCACTCTAAAAATATTTGAATCTTATTTCTACTCCAAAACTGTCAGCCTGCAGCTTAAGGTTGTTTTGTCTCATATGGTACCAAAGTTCTAACTCTTAGCATTGGTTAACTAGGGCTTTAATGCAACATAATTATCAATTCTATGTAGTGAGAGTACCTCAAATCTATACCTTAAATTCTAACTTTCCTTTTTATTAAAATAATCAGATTGAACCCCATGAGTCTTTCACCAGAAGATCTAATCTTTCACCACTTCTGATCTCCCTACCTGTGATTCCCTCTTTGTACACTGAAGGATCTGATCAGCTTCTTTAGATTACTTTGCCTGACAGAATCCTGTGGAGAGTTACTTTTAACAAGTCAGAGCTGCCTATCTCACAAGAAAGGCTCATTTTCTGTTTTCCCGGAAGTATGGCATTACCTTTACTGATGTGCTTGATTCAGAAGTCCTATCTCTTTTTTTATTAGCTGCCTGTCTCTGTTACTTACCCCTCCCCATTCTCCACACTGGTTGCAAACCTTTTCTGCAATGATTTCCTTTCAGATCTTCAGTTCAAAAAATTGAAGAACATAGAACCTAGAATGACAAGATGCAACTAAAAATATTCAGAAGTGGCGATCAACTTATTATAATATTATGACATCTAATCAATTTACTACACTTCAGGCAGTAAATTACATTGCTCTTGATTAAAATGCTACAGAGTACATTATCAAACATTTTATGAGACTTGCTTTTCAAACAAATTTTCAGTATAAGAAAAAACATGCTGAACGACAGGTTAGTTTCAAGAGATTTTCCCTGAAAACTGTGGGTTTGAAATTAATTATATTAACTTGCTCCATTCTTTATTTAGTGAGAATTTCATCCACAATTATGGGGGTTTTTTACATGATCAGTATAAAGTTAAAAGGCTTAAAAGGTAAAGGGCTGCAATTTTACCCCTTTTATTAATGCATGTCTTTAATTTTTACTGTGTCCTCTAAAACTCAGCACTGTTCCAAGATTTATTGAAAAGTGCCATTAATCATCCAAAGACCTCTTCAGCAAGCTCTTATAAAACTCTCAGATGCAAATTATCTAGATGTCCCAATTTTAAAATGTCTAGCTTTAGCACCTGCTGTTTAAATCTTTTGAGAAATGTTGGAATGGAAAGCGTTTCAGTATCAGGATCAGCATGTAATATGACTAATTCCCATGGCTTTTCCCCAAATACATAACAAAAGTATTTCACAGAATCACAGAATGGGTAAGACTAGAAGGGACCACAGTGAGGCATCTGGTCCAACCTCCCTGCTCAACCTCAGAGTCTTCCTAGAGCACATGACACAGGATTGTGTCCAGACAGTTCTTGAATACCTCCAGTGCGTGTCCATCTCTCCAATGTGTTGAGGTCCTTCTGAGGGGCTGCACAGCCCTCTGGGGTACTGACCACTCCTCCTAGCTTTGTGTTGTCAGTGAACTCGCTGAGGAGGCATCTGCCCTGTCATCCAAGTCATTGATTAATAAGTTCAACAATACTGGGCCCAGTATTGAACCTCAGGGGACACCACTAATGACAGGTCTCCAACTAGACCCTGTGCCACTGATAATGATCCTCTGCAATCTGCTGTTCAGACAGTTCTCAGTCCACCTCACTGTCCACCTCATTGTCAACTCACCCAGTTCACACTTCCTTAGTTTGCCTGGGAGGATGTTTTGAGAGATAATGTCAAAGGCCTTGCTGAAGAGGTAGACAATATCCCTGCTCTCCCTTCATCCTTCCAGGTAGCTGTTTCATCATAGAAGGCAATCAAGTTGGTCAAACACGATTTCCCTTTAGTGAACCCATGCTGACTACTCCTGATCACTTTCCTGTCATCCATGTGGATAGAGATGACCACCAGAATGAAGTGCTCCATCACCTTTCCAGGGATTGAGGTGAGGCTGATGGGCCAGTGGTTCTCTGGGACCTCCTTCTTGCCCATGTTTGAATGCTGGGGTGACATCTGGTTTTTTCCAGTCCTCAGGCCTCTCTCCTGATCTCCATTACCTTTCAAAGATGATCGTGAGCTGCCTCACTGTGGTATCCACCAGCTCTCTGAGCACTCATGCATGTATCCCCTCAGGACAAATGGACTTCTGAGTGTCAAGTTTTCCTAGGTGTTCTTTAACCCAATCCTCCTTGAACAAAGGAAAGTCTTCCAACGTTCCTTTACCCTGGTCTCCTGGGTCAGAAATTTCTGGGGGCTGGCCTTGCCAGTGCAGACCAATGCAAAGAAGGCTTTCAGTAACTCTGCCTTCTCTGTGTCCTTTGTTACCAGGGATGGTAACAGAGGGTACCCCCTCCATTTAGTGATGGGCTCGCATTATCCTTTTTTTTCCCTGTTGTTACTGATATATTTGGAAAAGCCTGTGTAGGTTCCCTTGACATCCTTGACCACATTTAATTCCAGATGGACCTTGAACTTCCTTGTCTCATTTCTAACTCTGACAACCCCTCAATATCCATTCCAAGTTCCCTGATCCTGCTTCCATCTCCTGTGTATTTCCTGCTTATGCTTGAATAATGGCAGGGTTCTTTATTCATCCACACAGGTCTCTTTCCCCCTTTGCCCAATTTCTTGCTCATCAGGATACATTGTTCTTGAACCTGGAGGAAGTGATCCTTAAATATCAACCAACTGTCTTGACCCCTCTTCCCTTCAGGGCCTGTTTCCAGAGGATTTTTTCAGGATCCCCGAAGACACTAAAGTGAGCTCTCCTGAAGTCCATGGTTGTAAGCTTGCTTTCTGCCCTGCTTCCTCCTTGCCCAATACTGAACTTCACAATCCCATAGTCACCGCAGCCAAGGCTGCACCCAACCTTCACATCTCCAACAACACCTTCCCTGTTTGTTAGTATGAGGTCAAGGAGCACACCATTCCTTGTGGAATCCTCCATCACCTGTGACAGGATATTGTCATCAATGCTTTTGAGGAATCTCTTGGACTGTTTGTGCTTCACTGTGTTGCTTCTCCCACAGATGTCAGAGTAGTTAAAGTCTCCCACAAGAACCAGTTCCTGAGACTAGTTCAAGCTCCCTACAGAAGGCCTCATCCAGTTCCTCCTCCTGATCAGGCAGCCTGTAGCAAATACCCACAACAGCGTCACCCTTACTTAGTCTGCCCTTTAATCCTAGCCCATAAGCTCTCTACTTGCTCATCATCCACTCTAAGACAGAGCTCAATACATTCCAAATGTTGTCTCACACAGAGGGCCACTCCACCAGGGCACCTTCCATGTCTGTCTTCCCTGAAAAGCATGTAGCCCATCATGACAACATTCCACCATGTCTCCATAATTGCAGTGAGGTCAAAGCCCTGTGATTGCACACAGATCTCTAGTTGCTCCTGTTTGTTCCCCCTACTGTATGTGTTAGTGTACAGACACTTTATGGAAGTATTTGATTGTGTCAATGTCCCAGTGGGGGTGCACAGGGACACCTTATAGTCCTGTCTTGTACTTATGTCTTTGGCTGTTTGTGCTTTCTCAAGATACTCTCTCTTAAGCCTCTTTTTGCTACTAGGGTGGTTGCTATATTTGCCTAAACTTCTGTTTTTCTCCATTATAACTGACACTTCTTCCATTTCTCATCTCAGTGGCCAATACTATTTTTTTCCTAAGCTTCCAAGTATCTTTCCTACTGGTTTTGGCTCAGTTTATTCCTCAACTCCAATTACTGATTTATTTTTTTTATTTCTATTATCAGGCTTTTGGGCTTCTTATTTCTTACGTGTTCTAGAGTTTATTCTATCTCCATATAGTAATCTAGTTATAACCTTCTTGTGGTCTAATTTTGGCATATAGTTCTGTGATTATTTCCTCTCTATCCACTATGATTAAATCTGTTATACTGTTTGGTTCTGCTAAATTGTTTAAAATTCAGTGTCTGGAAAAGTCTAGAATATTTTACTGTTGACAGAATGGAGACCCAGCATGTCATTCAAATTGAAACTTCCAGCATCTAGGGGTTTTTTCATTCCAGCACACAGTATAAGGAGGCATTAGAAAACCCTACTACAGTGATTTTATGAATTCTGTTGAATGCTAATTACAAGCATCTTGTTTTTTCACAGAAAAGCATTTGCTGTAATTTTCATGACCTCATGTGAACCATGCAGGAACAAAGAAATGCAAGAGATGTTACCAGACCCTTTCCCATGTGCAGCTACTTGACATAATACCTCGCAGAGCCAGATTCTATGTCATTTCCAGGCTTCAGCAGCTCCTTCAAAGAGATGAGTATGCATGATGGATGCTGTATGCCCATCTTCTACACCCTTCTACACAGGAATCTACAATAACAAGCAATACACACAAATTCTTTTCTCAAAGTATCAGGAGACTATGGATAAAGCCAATGCCTGTCCATACCTTCTCCACTGTGCTGAAACACTGAACCCAGTCCCAAGCAGCTATGCCAGACAGGAGTTCCTGTCTACAGGGGCAACCTTCTGTCTGGTGCCAGTACCTGACAGAAGGGCATTCCATGCTGTACCACCACAGGCTTGCACACTCCAGGGAAACTCTTCAGTTGCTGGGACCAAAGCAGCTGTTTTCTCCTGCCATCACATTCTCCAACCACAAGTCCTCTAAAAACAGAGTGCAAACTTGGTAGGGGGGCAAGGGGGAGGGGAAACAGGAGAGGAGAAGAGGGGGAGGGAGAGGATGCCTCGTGACTCAAAGAAAGATAACAGCACATTTTATGTGGCCTGCCATTCCCCCTCCCCTCTTGACTATTCCTAAATACGTTACATTCGGGGCCCTTTGCGTTCCAGACACGTAAGTTCGTTCTATGGGTAGCATCCAGTGACAGCAATGCAAACATTTATTATGAGGTTAGGGGCGCTGGTGTATAGACCAATAAATAGTCTTTTTCCTCCCATCCCTTTGTGCCTCAGTTAATTTTATTGATATCTTGATTGGACGGAAAATGAGTGCTTGTTTGTTCCCACTTCTACATTGGTCATCAGGTGAACCTAGTTCACCCATTCCTTACAAGGCTTGGAGGAGGCCCCCTCCCCTCAGGGCTGAAGGCACCATCCACTCGTGGTACCAGCCCCATCTCCAGCCAGCATCCTTCTTTGCCTCCAGCTCCCCAGGCATGCCCAGTTCTGTGACCATGCTCAACCCTGTGATGCATTCTGTTCATGTGCTGGTTGAGGACAGGAGAAAGGTTAATTAAAATCACCCTATAATCATGCATAAAAAATAAAAGCATTGTTTGGACCTTATGCAAGGAAGTTTACTTTATTTCTAATCTGCCTGTTCCCACATCTCACACAGAAGGACCTAAGAGATGTTTGATTTGCCCCCAAAACGTCAAGCTGGTAAGGCTCTGGCTTGGCTGCCTAGCTTGTAGATCAAGTCAGCATTTGAATGACTCCTAGACTTTTGAATACATGACAAAAAAAGGTAAAATAGGTATTTTCAGCTTATCACAGGCAACTTAAGGGAATAAATGAAAGGCTATGTTCTATATGGGTGACTCTTTTCCCATTGAATTTCAAAGGCCTGCTGACACGCCTCTCAAAACTGTGCTGAGAAAAGGATTTTCAATAAACAAGAGTGTCAGGAAACATTAACAGTCAGGGTCCTGTCCAACTCCTGGTATTGCGTATTCATACTGTCACACAGCACCCTCACTTATTCTTCATCTGTGCTTCTAGATGCAAGCAAGAGGGATTAATAAGAAATGTTCCTTCACTAAACCACATTGTCTTATGGGTTCCTGTCAGGAAACATCCAGCTACCAATACCATGAAGCCATTTAAAAGGGTGGGTAAATAAATAAATAAATGGGTAAATAAATAAATAAATAAATGCATTGCCCAGGGATGATTTTCACTTTGGTTCCAATTTTAATCAGGATAATAACACCCAAGAGCAGCATAGCAGTGCTTTTTCTTTCATTTCGTGCCATGTTCAAGTGATGTTGTTTCACAGCTTTAATAGTCCTGTCAGCATTCATCAGCAAATCAAGACATCCTCCAGAATACCACCATTAAAACACAGTGGATTTTTAATTAGAACAGGGCAGCCCTTAGCACACCAACTACATGTTAAATTGATATTTCTCACTACAAGCTCAAGATTAGCCAGTTTCAGCTGTTTCCAAATGAAGCAAATCAAGCTTAATGTGGGCTCAGCTGAACAAATGTATTTTCTTAGCTTTACAGCAGCTTTTAACTTTTAATGCTGTGTCCTTTTTTTTCCTTTTTTAAAAGATGATGTTATGGTAGGAAAATGTTACGCTTGCCTATGTGAGATTTAGAGATGACCTTTTTTACTGGACAAGAGTTCTGTGAGACACTGGACAGAATATAAATCCCAGACTCTACTCCATCAAAAGCTGATAAATAAGTGAGGAAGATTAAGAGTGTAGTTTAATGAGCCAGTATGTTTTCCATTACAGATGTAATTATTTGCCAAAAATTGTCCTTTCCACATTCATTTTGTTTTGAAAAACAATGAGTCCTTCATAAAACCATCTAGTAGGTTTTCTGGATGCACCATTTTTTAGGAGATCAGTGGTTTGTGGTCTTGTTGATGTGGATGAGAAGCAGTTAAAGTCATTTGTTGCTTTTCCTGAAATCTTAAGTACCACAAGCTGCTGGATTGTTTCTCATTAGTATCTGGGAATTACTAAAGTGTACTCTTTACTAAGTGTGCTGGATTCCCATCCAGTCCCATTTTATGGTAACAAAAACCACAGGAAAAAAAGTGGCTTTTGTTACTTCTGTATTACTTTCCCATAAACTATGTGGAGCATATTCGCCTGTCATTTTTCTCTTTAGCTAATCAGTACTCAGAAGGTGTGACACCAGGAAAACTAAGCACTTTCAAAGATTAGCTCAAATAGGTGGAAGAAGTGAAGCTGAAATCAGGTAATATGCACTTCACTTGTTCCTTGCCCTAAAGAGCAGCAGGACAGACTGGTGGGGACTGCAGCCCATCCCCAGGGTGAAGTGAGTTCATGCACTTGTAGCTCAGCAGTCCCACCTCCCATGTACACGGGCTTACCTGAAGCAGCATAAGGAAACTGGGAGTCAGGCATACAGCTCACCTCCCCGTCTTAACAGACACTCACTAGAGAAGTTCTTCTAATCGACACAGCCATATTTGCCCTTAATAGTTCATGAGTGTTATGTACCAGCCCACTTATTCTTGGAATATAGGCATTACCCTAGAAAGAGGCCAAAGCACAACAGTAAGAAGGAAAAGACTCCTCACTTGGCTGAGGATTGTATCCTGGAGTCCTTCTAGGTGCTGCAACTCTTCCATCCATTTGGAGTTTGACCTGAGGGTCTACAGATCTCAAAAATATTATAAAGGAGTTGAGTCCTTTGGAAAGGTATTGACAGTAGCCAATGTGCTGAGCAGGGAGACCACTACACTGTACAGTGGAAAACTGGTGGTAATGCAGAGGCAACACTGCTCTTGATGCCTTGCTTCTGAGGTGGGCTGGTAGTGTGAGAGCTGCAGACATCAAGGGATGATGCACCATCACTTGCCTTCCACTGACCTCCTTCACCCTGCCTTGTGGAAGGGGTCTGGAGGACAGCAGGGAGCTGTACCAAGGTCATCCAAGCAGACCCCACATGCTGCTGCACCAGAACTTCATCCCCTTTATCTGGATTTCCTCTCACAAATAAGGACCTGATAGTAAGGGCTCTCTGGTGCCATTCCTCCTAGCAGCAAATTACTCTGTATATATTTTTCCTTGATTTCTCAGGAAACCTGCAGGATATGCAGGCTGTTCAACCACCTTATCCCATACATGGAATGATGCACTCCAACAGGATAATGGAATCAAAATCTTTCTCCAAACTTATCTTGTTGGTTTTGGGTTTAGCCCTAAATTTTGAGTGTATTTTTTTGGTTTTTTTTTTAAATAAACATATATGTCTCAGTAAGACATTCTCTCTCATTTTCCTCAGTGTTCAGCCCAAAAGTCAATCATCAAAGTTAAATTAATCAAGCAGAAACCTTTACTTAACTTTTAAACAGCAATGGAGCTTGAAAAAAGATCTTGTACCTGAAATTTCATGTGTAAATTATGACTTCATTTTCAAAATTTATCTTGGCCAAATTTCTGGAGTAAATCCATCAAATGCAATCTTCTGTGGGAAGCTTCCTTCTGAAAAACAATTTCCTATGTTGAGAAGCAGAGGATAAGTACAATAACAAATTCATCCCTTTCCATAAGGCTGTTTTATGCTAATATCATAATAATGATATTATAATAATATCATTTTCACATCATGATAATGCAAAACTCAGAGGGACTGAGACAATATCTGCATTTTACCATTTAGCATCTGTTTCAGCTCCATAATAAGGCTCAGAACTGAAAGGTCCCCAATTCAGCAAACACTGAAGGGCACAATTTACTTCAAGCTTACAATGGGGACTTCAAAATTAATGGAAAATCAAACAGACCAAAAGAAGTGGAGCAAAGAAAACACACTCCATCATAGTACAAAAGAACAAAATTAATCACACATAGAGTGACCTCCACTGTGCTGGACTTCCTATTAGAGAAGGCGAAAGTCCATTTCCATCCACATGAGTTTCCCCATCCCATTTAGCAAGCTGTTTCATCACAAGTACTTACTTCTATCTCTGCATGACTTGTCTGGGGGTGAGACATCAGCCTTCAGGGAAGCATCATGGCATCGAGCTGGGGTTTCATGGGAAACATGACAGTATGCTATGATGGAGTCATCCTCTTCTCAAGAGCAGGTAACTTCAGCACTTTCCAGGTGGCACTTGAGATATGGTCTTTGACCCTTGAGAACTGTCTGAGCTGGTCACAGAGGTGGAAATAATGCAAACCAGAGCTAAGAGAGACAGACTGGACACATAACCTGTTCAAGGCATTTACATATATTATGTACAGAGGAAAGAGCATTTCAGGTACAAAAAAAACCCAGAGTGAAATGAAGGGCCTTGGTTCTGCTTGTGCTGGTGACTTTGTTAATACATGACATTATTCTGTGTGTTTGCATTTTGCACATAAGGGAAAGACAGAAGCACTCAGCAACTAGAAACAATTTACATAAATGAGGGTATAGGCAACACAGTGAATCACTCACAAAAGGCAGGTAATAAGGTATGAGAAGCACCCTCTTCCCTTCTATTTGGCACTTGGCAGACTAAGTTCCACCTACTATGTGGCAGTCAGGTTCAATTACCTCTGCTAGCTTATGGCCCAACTTTCCCCTGAAAAACCCTCCAGCTGGGCTGTTGCTGAGAGGTGGGAATTGTGGCTTAAAGCTTCCAGGCCCCCCCATGTCATGATCAAATCATGGCAATTTTAGGTGAAAAGGGGCCAGAACATTGTCTTCCAACAAATTCATAAAGATTTCCCAGTGGGAATGTCTCAGTCCCTCTTATGAAGAGAAATAATTAAGGAAAGACATGTGAGAAACACTACTGGAAATCCACCAGTGAAAGAAAGGATTTGTTTTCAACGTTCAAATAATTCAACTAGAGAAGTACTAGCTAGCAGAGAGAAGCTCAGATAAACATTTCACAAGTGGGTAGCAGGGAGCAAAGAACCAGAAAGGAGTAAATAAATTACTCCTCTCTGCCACATAAATCATGCAAATTGTAAGCCTTCTGCAGCAGATGCTTTAGAGGCTGTGTCTCCTCTAGAAGTTGGTACTGCATGCAGCAACAAGGAACCCCAAATTCTTTAATGGGGTCTCTATACACTGGAACAAGACAAACAGAAAATTACATGCAGATAATAATAAGGTAAATACAGTCCTGGAAAGGGTTGTACAGCCATGACCACGTCACTTAACATTGTGCATCACTGAGCTCTTGTGCCTTCCTGTGCTGAGGATGTTGTAGACCCAAAGCTGCAGACACTAAAAGGCTGCCCAAAACTCCAGCTGCCCCTGCACCATGGCAGTTTGTAATCTAATGCTGCATTATTTTCCCATGTGCTCTTGCTTAGGGAACAAATCAGGAAACAGTCCCAAACAAAAAACATCCAAGCAAAAATGATATGGTGATTTCTAGACAGGATTTTACAGAGCATATGTGGCATTTGTGTTAAATTTGTAATTGGGTAGACATATCTTAATGCAGCTTCAAAGAAGTGGTGAAGAGAAACTTGAAAGAGGGAGAAGGAAATGTTCCCATTGGGAACTCTAGATTGAATATTTTATATGCATGCCTATTGCCCTCCCCCCAGATTACAGTGGGTAATCCATGCATGCTTAATCTTTGGGCTCTCAGATACTTAATTAGTGTACTTTAATTAGTACATGCAGTGTTAGTGAGGTAATATTTCATCATGTTTCAACTAGGAAAGATTTTAGCACAGTGCAATCTTTTCTTAGTCCAGATTGGAATAACAGAGGTTATATAAATGTAAATTACACAATTTGACAGCTGTGTTACATCAGCATGTTATGACTTAAAGAGCTAAATCCCAAGTGCCCTCACTGACCAGTGATATCAGGCTCCCATTGAATCTTGCCAGGGGAAGGGGCCTGCAATAGACAACCCTGGTGCAGAGCTCCCACAGCCTCACCTTCTCGCCCTTCCCATCAGCAGCCCATATCACCGCCCTGCTCTGGTCATTCATGGGCTTTCTGTGTGCTTCTCCTCCTCGGCCCACTGCCAGCCATTCAAGAGTTTCTTCCTTCTCACACCCAACATGCCTTCTTTTCTGTCTCTGGCTTTAACCTAATTGGTCTTTCTTCTGCTTTCTTACGACTCATGATCTTTCTTTCTAACCTTCCTTTACTTACTTTTAAGTTTTTCTTCCCACTTCTGCCAGAATAGCTTTATGATATTTAAACTGTTTACTATAATTCTGCATCTTTTTGAGCATTTACAGTCTCTTCTCCCATTCCCATTGTCATTGTCCTTCCAGCCCATTGCACTTCTCTTTCACTGGCTCTTCTTGCCTGCCCTCTCTCTAGCTCTGTTTTGCTGCTAGTGGCCAAGTAGGGCCATCGGTGCCAGTATGGAGCCATCTGTAAGGCTATAGCATGTACCCTGCACGTGGGGGGCTCTTTGGATGGAAGAGGAGGGATTTGTTGGACACAAAGGCCCAAAATTGCACTCAATCTCATGGTCAGGTGGCCTTGGCAAGGTTGAGGTTCTCCCATGACAACAGTGACTACATAGCTTAGTGATACTTCTGCTCCAGGAAACAAATCAAAATTAACTGGTTCCTGGATACCTCATGCATTTCCCAAACACTCTTCATTAGACTAGAACAGAAAATGTTACTGATGGTGAAAGGACAAATCAAGATGACCAGGCCATCTCAATAAGGATTCCTTTCCACCTATTCACTGCCACTTTCTTACAAACGTCTTGCTCAAAGCAGGAATCATCTTGGTTTGGCCTGGACTATACAAAAATTGGTCATCTGCAGGTGATGCATCACCAACACCTTGTTCTCCTCACCACAGGTTTTCCCTCTTTCCCCTGCTTTCCAGTGTGCCTCTTGTCCCAGTAACTGACTTACCCTGAAGATGCTGCAGCAAATACCTAACCTGGCTCCTCTGCAACTCCTACAGCCAAGCCAGGCTATCAGAGTTTTCTCTGTTGTTCTTGGCCCCTACCACATCTCAGAAGATTCTGCTTCTTAGGTCTGGAAGAAACAAGAACTTCCCAAAATTTTGTCCCAAGTCATCTATAACATTAGCTTCTTTGCAGACTTGTTTGCTATCCTCTTTCTGCTGTGTCCAGAGTCTAGCCTGGGCATACAAGACTGGAATTTGCCTTTTACCCAGGACACATCTAATATAACTGTTTTGTCACTAACCCCCCCCCAAATCTATTTTTTAATCTAGGAATTTAAAAAAAGGTCAATGAAAATTATTGAAATGTTTATGCTTGGTAACAGCATGCAAATGAAATATGATTTAGCCTGTCTCTTCCATCAGGCATCAACAGATTGTCTTTAAACCTATATCATTCAAAGCCTCCTGCTCTGGGAATTACACATACATAAACCCTCTGGAGTAACCTGAGGGCTCAAAAGCCTTGGTGGAAACAACACTGAAGTGATGTGTGTAATTTTCACCTGCATTATAATAATGATATAAAAACCAGCAAGGGCCAGAACCTCAATGCAGGAGGCGTTACACAAACACAGAACTAAGCAGTAGTCCTTCCTCCAAGGAGCTCATGGCCAATTCACCAGATAAGAGACAGCAGGAAAAGCCCAGGGAATGCCCAGCCTTGCAGACAATGGCTGTGGACCTGTACATATCGTTGTCTATACTGCTCTCCTGGGGCTCCTCTGAAGACCAGCCCAGAGCTGACTCCTGACTGTATTCAAAGTTCTGGCCCTGAGCATATGCCTGCACTGGATGCATACCATCGTGCACACTGAAAACACAGTTTTGACACAACACGATTTCAATCCCTTTTCTCTGTTGCATCCCTGCAAGGAGCTCTCCCAACCCCATCCACTTCATCGAGGCCAGTGGTATTGAGGGAGAGCAGGCAGGTTGTGGCGCACGACCAAGAGGACAATTCACAGAGTGCATTGTCTTATAAGTCCTGCTCCATCAGCACTCTCAGCCAAGGCTGTGCTTTATGCCTTGGTTCACAACAAAAGCTTTGTCCTCCATCCTGCTCATCATTACCCCCAGACATAGCAAGGGGTATGGAGAGAACGTAGGAGGAACAGTTCTTCATATGAAACACAGAATAAACAGAATTGCTCAGGATGTGGATAGAGTCAAGGATTGTGAAGTTCTGCCAAAAGCTAAGGAGCATCTGACTTTACCATTGAAAACATCCTCAAGGATGCTTTCCAAACTAAATGAACTATGTAAATACTCATTTTTCCTAGAGTTTTCTAGGAAAGAAAATCCTGCTGACTCTGGTGTCAGTGCATTTTATATCACAGCATCTAGAAGTAATTTATAATAATTGGTACATTTCCTTCTTTGTAGCAGACAGTCCTCCCTGTTTGCAAGAGGAGGAACAGAAGTTGAGTTGCTCAAGGTCATGCTAGGACTGAACATTGGTCTTTTGACTTTCAAGATTGTGACTTAATACATAATCTTTCCTTTTTTTCCATTGCCATTGCATCTTCTGCTGCACTCAAGACTCAGCATGGTGGTTATCATAATTTTACACTAAATTT